CTCATGGCGGCCCGCGCCTGAGCACCGAGCGGCGCAGATGGAACACAGCCGACGGAGATCAGCAGAGCGCAGCGGAGCCGAGCGCAGAGGAGCAGAAGGCGGCAGAGGTAGCCGAGCGCGCGGGAGACGGCCGAGGATGCGCGGCCGCCCGGAGGCGCAGGCGCGGGAGGGGCGGCGTGACGTGGGTGGGGCCAACGGGATGCCCCGCCCCGATCGCGCTGGACTATGATTGCGCCTGCGCGGCTCGAGGCTCATGGACTTTCCTAGAACCTGGGGCAACCTGCAGATTCCCATGAGTGGGGAGACCCTGAGATTTGGACCGCAGAAACGAGGCTTGTGGGCTCAGCGGCTGCTTAGGACCGCACGGACGCAGCTGAGCCTGCCTGCGCCCGCACCTGCTACCCTGGAAAGAGGTTCTCGGAGCGACCCGAGACTGTGCCAGGCCCGCTTCTCTGCGCAGCACTGTCCTTCCCCCTAACCACTGTAATCCATCACTCACCATCATGCGTGAAATGGATGCGCTAGGGGACCCTACTTTGTGTTACGCTATTAACTAGGGCTCAAAATAGCCTTCCTGTTAAAATGTATACATTCGACCCCCTGTATGCCTTTTGTAGTTTGTATGACTGTTTTTAACTAGGACACAAAATAGCTTTCCGGTCAAAAAATGTCTTTTGTAGCAATACCAGGTGTATTTATTTGTATATCGTGGACCCCTCAAAAGGCAGGTGGTGGGAGACTGAGGATCCAGCCTCAGTCACCAGACTGGTGGAAGGAGCCAAGTTCTGCCGAATTCCGAACCCCCTCGGCTTCCTGTCTCACCTCCCGCAAAGCCCTGTGTTCCTGTGGACACCAGAGCTCTGAGAGACCCCACCACATCCTTTCACAGAATTCTGTTCATGGGGTGACCAGAGCCTCTGATACCTGCTGGCAAGTGGGCCCAGGCTGAGCCCTGTTCTGTGTTTTGAGAAGTTGACTAGGAGGAAAATGCACTTGCAGGTCCTGTCCCTTCAAAGCTTCATTTTGTATTCCACACCTGACTTCAACCTTGAGACCCTCTTTGTCTGCTCTAAGATGAGCCTTGCAGCAACAGCAGTTCACACAGCTTTTCCTCCTACGAAGCCTGTGGAGGCCCTTAAGGACTAAGAACAGGCTTAATGCTCTGTTGTGTTGCCCTGTGGCCTAGCCACGAGCATTCCACTGACCCTAGCTTTTAATTCTCATTTACTCTACCCTTAGACACAAGAGTGCAGCGTCTAAGGACATTCAGCTCCTTGTCAAGAAAACCCCAGGACCAAAAGGCCTGCTTGCATACAGATCTTTACCCTAAGGAAGACAGACTGTCTAGGTGCCCCCTAAAGTCTATAGGCCAAGAGACCTGAGGGTGTCCTGCGTCAGGATTCCTGTAGCCTCAAAGTTGGGTCTCAGAATTGTGGACGTCTTGTAAGTGTGTTAGCCCAGGTCCTCCAGCCACAGAGCGCAGGATGAGTTACATGCTTGATATAAGTGTGATGATACATCACTGTAATTGCACAAGTGAGGAGGTTGAGGTAAGAGGATTACAAATTCCAGGCCAGCCTGGATTAGATAAGGAGATGCTGTCTCAAAAATCAAAATAGCAACATAGTGTGTGTGTGTGTGTGTGTGTGTGTGTGTGGTGTGGTGTGGTTGACAGTGTGAAAGAGAAATGCCTATTGATATAAGCAGAAGTTCAATTAAAGCTCTTGACTTGGGGAGCTGTTAGAGTATGTTGTGAACTGCATACAGTGCATTCCACAAAGTTCTACTATGCAGTACCTATGGAGGTGACCTTATGTGGAAAGAAACCTTTCTGCAGATGATCAAGATGAATCTAATAGGTTGGCGGGACCCATCCATTATTACTGATGTCCTTATAAATGGGAGTTTTGAACAAGGAGACTGGCGCCGGAGGGGATGCTGGTAAGACCAGAGTTTTGTTGATATAGGCTACTCAGCCACCCGAGTTGGAAAGAGCTGGGAGGGTTCTCCCTTAGGGACACCAGGAAGAATTGCCTCGACCTGGGTCTTGAACTTCTATCTTTCTGGGCTGTAAGAAGATACAGCTGTTTGTTCACACCCCCAGGAAGTATGTTATAAATCTGCGAGAGGATGAGGTGAGGACACCCTGGGCAGCTTGTCCCAGCCCCACAGTCAATGCAGAGTGATCCAGGAAGGACTTGCCTTAGGTACCTGCCCTGGCCTGCATTTGTGGAAGCCCCATGAGACGCATGGCCTGGTGAAAATCCACAGTGGATCCTTGGGTCAGTGAGGCTTGTTTGGAAGAGGCTGGGGGAAGGAAATGAGTTGTTTGGATCAGGTTTTGATGAGACACAAAGGCAAGGAAGTGGCTATCAAGGGGAGCCAATTCTGCTCACAGATGAATGTACATTGGAGGGGAAGGTGGGAAGTCCTCTGTGTACCACTGTAACAAAACACCCAAACATAGTCGGTTTATGAGACACAGAAAATGATTCTTACACTTCCAAGCCCAAAATAGGAGCCAACAGGTTTAAAATCGGACGAGAAACCAATCTCTGCTTCCAAGATACCACTTGAGCCTGGTGTCCCCAGAGGGGACTCCAAGTCCTCACGTAGCAGGAGAGTCGCAGGGTGGAAATCGCAAGCCCTTTTATAGCTGTAGTGGCGGTAATTATTTCCTTTCCTCTCGTTCACTTGAATTTGCTATTCTTTCCCTGCCTTTGTAAGGCAGGAGTGCAGATTGCTAGTTGCAGACTTTTCTTATTCAACACTGTCCATTTTCTTGTAAGCACAGCTTTGTCTGTTTCCCACGAACACTGGCCTGCTGTTTTTCTACTTTCCTTTGATTTTTAATTTACTCTGTGTTTTCCCTGGTGGTCTCTTTGACCCATGTGTTGCTTAGTTAGATGCATAGAAATGTCCAAAATATTTGGAAAGGTGCCAGACACATTTCTGTTATTAGTTTTAATAACTCCTTTGTGGTTCCGACACAGGCTCCATGATATCATTGCATTTATGGCCTGTAATTATGCATTTGGGGTAGAGAGTTCTGTGAATGCCAGTGGGTTACATCGGTGCATAGTTTTGTTCAGGTTCCACGTCTTTCTACACTTATGTTGCTTGTTCTGCTCATTACTGAAGCCAACCTTATTTGGGCACTTGTCTATTTTACTTTTAGCTCTGGTCGTCTGTATTTTCCTGCAGTGTCTTTAGGTACATACATCCTCAAAGGGCTTGTTCCTCTTTATCAACCTCTTTATTCCTCTTTATTCCGATGGAACCTCTGGCCCATCTTTATTGTTGTTCACCTTTTATTGGCATGTTTCCCCATCTTGTTATGTATTTTGCTTTTTAACCAACCTCTAAATCTAGTCTTTTCGCAGCAGTGTTTAGACAAATGGGCTTGGCGATTCATCCGATAATTCGAGCACTTGAGAAGCTGAGACAGGAGAATCTTTGTGAGTCCAAAGCCAGCCTAACGTATATAGCAAGACTCATGTTTCAAAACCAAAACAAAACTCTCCTCAAAGCAAACCAAAACAGCCGTGTTTAGATCTTCTGTGTCTGAGGTGTCAGCAGACTAAGGTTTAAATAGTCGGTCCTGCTGTTTGCTTTCTGATTAACTTCTCTGGCTTTGCTTTGTGCTTTTCTCTTTTGGGCCAATTTAGCAGGTTCTTCATCTTATCTCTACAACTGGTTCATCAGCTATATACCTTCCCTTTAACATGTTAGTATCTGTTGTAGGGCTTACCATGTATTCTCTGAAGGCATTTCAAGTAGTATGATGCCACTTAACATGTGAGATTTCACAATATCCACTTTTGTTTCCTTCCCACCCTTCCTGCCTCTGTTCTTGCATATTTTAATTTTATATACGCTAAACCTCCACAGCACACTATTATTATTTTTGCTTTGAACAGTCAATTACCTTTTCAAGAGATTATAGAGAATTTTAAAAAGACTTTTGTGTTTGTGCCAATGGTTGTCTTTTAAGCTCATTCATTGCCCCGTACAGATCTGAATTTTCCTTGGCTGCTGTTTTCTTTCTCCTGAGGAAATTCTACTAAATATTTTGAAGTGTAGACCTGTTTGTTTATAATTTTATGCACTGAGGTTATCTGAGGTGTTTTTAGCTTGCCTTTTCTTCTAATGATCATACAGTTCTGCAGCAGCTAGACTATGTTTTATGCCTCTGTGTACCTCTGTGTCCTTGCCAACACTCAGTACCTAGACCAGCATCCTTGTTGTGGTTCCTGACTGGATTTGCAGTGAAGAACCTCTTTACATGTGCTTATTTATATCTGTAACTCACCTTCAGTGAGATATCTGTTCAGATATTTACCTGTTTTGTAGTGGATCTGCTGAGATTGTTTGTTTCTGAGACAGAGTCTGCATGTATAGCTCAGGGTGCCCTGAAACCCAATTATTCTTCTACTGTAGCTTACTGTGTGCTAGGATTACAGACAGACACCCTGCGACGTTTAATATATCCTGAATTCATTTCCTTATGGTTTATATGACTTGACAATAGATTCTAACATCCTCTAGCTGTCTTTTAACTTTTGAATAGTATTTTTTTTAATAACATCACAATCTCACTCTGTTGCCCAGGTTGGCCCCAAACTCACAGGGTCATGTGATCCTTCAGTCTCAGCCTCCAGAGTAATTGGCACTGTGGGACTGAGCCGCCATACCTAGCTGTTATATGGGAATCTTGAAAGAAATAGACTCTTAGCAGTGCTAGTCTTAGATTCATTTACCCAGTAGACAAAACACAATTTGTCTGGTCTTTATAATTTCACTCAACAATGTTTTGTGACTTGCCATGCATAAACAGTTCACTTCTGCCACGTGTGGTAGTTTTGAGCTACCATAGATGATCTTTTTAATTTTTGACTGTTTATTGCCAGCATACAAAAACAAGTTTGTTTCCCATCTTAATTCTGTGTCTGTGACCCCAACTATAAAATTATTTTGTTGCTAATTCATACTGTGATTTTGTAATCATAATGTAAATATTTGTTATGCAGGATATCTGCTATGTGAGCCCTGTTCAAGTATTATTCAATGCCCCCCAAGGGGTCTTGACCCATAGGTTGACCACTGT